ATTGGCTGCGGGGTGGATGGCGATTTTTCTGGAAGCTTTGATCAGAGGAAGAAGAACGAGTTGGGGCTGAGTGCCAGATCGGACGGTCCCTGCTCGCTGCATTGGGCGGCTGGCGTTCGACCAGCCCAGCAGTTGGGCCGGTGCGCCGGCGCAGATTACCGCCCCCTCTGATTCGATGACTGACAGCCAGATGAGCCAACTCAACCAGTTCCCGGCCCTGTCTCGCGTCTTCCTTTCTCCCTCCGGGGCCGCTCGCTCACCCCTCGCATGCCCTCGTGGTCATTGCGCTCAGCCCCGCTACCCCTTGCATGCCCTCGTGATCACTGCGCTCAACCCCACTACCGGCGAGCTCGAAAGCGCGTGCGATGATCACTTCCATCCATCCGTCACACTGCTAGTCCATCAGGTGGTTGTTGTCTCAGGAAAAATGGCTGCACAGCAACCGTGCCTCCATGCTGCCCCCACGGTGGCAGCCGCCATGCCTCGCCAGTGGAGATTTTTGTGGTTCTAGCATAACCTGATGCAGGTCGTAGCATTTTGCATCATTTGATGTTGCTCCCGGCGCTCGCCCCCGCTCATCGATGGTTCCAGCAAAAACACATGCCTGTTGTAGCAAAAAATGCCGTTGGATGCAGCTTCGATGCCTAATCGGTTTCTATAGCATTTGTCGCCGCATCCATTGTAGCAAAACACGCCGCTGGTTGAAGCTTTTCTGGTCGCTGGTTCCAGCTTTTGCCGGCACGCGGTGTTGGTTGCAGCTTTCGACTTGTCCGGTTGCAGCACGCCGTGTTGTCGGTTCCAAGTTCCAACAAACATGGTTGCCGGTTTGAGCATTCTTGGCGTCGTCGCGCGTTGCGCCGTCTCGTCCAGCTCCTATTGTCGCCGGTTCTAGCACGGCCGCCCGACGGTTCCAGCTTCTCCATGACCGTTTGTAGCATTCTCGCGCCGTCGCACGCTGGACGCAGCTTCCAGGAGCCTCGCCACAGTTGCAACAGTGGCTCACCGCAGCCAGGAGCCTCGCCGCGGCTGCATGAAGCCTGTCGTCCAGCTCTTGTTGTCGCTGGTTCCAGCGCGCCCCACCGACGGTTCCAGCTTTCCCCCATGGCCGGTTG